CTTGAGGGCCTTGCCCTATCGTCTCGACCCTGATCATCGCCGGTAGCCGCTCAAGGTCTTTTTTGTTCGATGCAGGATACATCATGTTGACGCTTACGTATGCGAGTTATGCGTTGCTCTAAAAAAAGACACGCAACCGGCGTGAGTCAGCGAGACGCGGCCGAGCTGGAATCAATGGCCAAAATGAGAGCCGAGAGCCCGGCTTGGCGTTTCGACAAAGCCAGGCCGCCAGCCGATACCAGTCGCGAGCATCGGCATCGGCCGGCGCATCGGAGCCATCGGAGCAGCGCTGCTAGTCGGCCAGTTCCCGGTTACGTCATGCCGCGCGTCGACAAATCACAAGCGTCCGGAAAAGCTCCTGGCGTAACTCGCGGAAAAATCCGGCGTCGCGCGCGCTCGCGGCCGCAGGTAGGTGGGTTGCACGACGCACGTAAGCGCTCTCGCTTACGTGCTAGCTGCACGGCTCATGGGCAAAAGTGAGACAGCCGCGCGTGAAAGCCGGGAAAGGAAGGCTCGCTCGTACTTTCTCCGACGACGCCGACGCGCTGCTGCTGCTGCTGCTGCTGCTGCTGCTGCTGGGTGCTTCTCCGCCGAATCACCCGTCGACGAACGGCCCTTCGGCGAACGATCTCTCGTCTCGTCGGCCGCCAGCCAGCCGGGCGCTCGCTCCTCGGAGCTAAGAATCATCGACCTCGCCTTCGCGTTATTCATTACGTAGTTGGAAAGAAGAAAGTTTACCAGTTCAGTGACACCTGCCCCACACTCCCTCCACTCGTCCGTCCGCGTCCACTGCTGACACTGGCGCTGAATCGGCGAGCCGCGCGCCACAGGTCGCCTACGGACTCGCTACATCAAACCCATCGGCTCTGCCCCTCTCTCGTGTCACGCGTGCAATGTCGCGCTTTCAGCTACGAATGCGAGTCCCGGCGCTGGCGAGCAACCATGGGGATCCAGCGAGGATTGCGGTCGGTCGCTTTGTCCGCCGGAACGCCGGAAAGTTGAACGTTCCGTTTTGCTCGGTTCGCGGCCGGCCGGCCTGCCTCGTCGCTGCCATCGGTTTTTATCCTGCATTTCACCTTTCTACTTTGCAATCAAGCACTTTCATATAGCTTTCACTTGGCCGATGAAAGTAGCCGAGTAGAGGCCAGCCAAGCGCTCACGCCAACCGCTGCCACTTTGCTCACTTCCTCGCTCTTCGCTCCATAGCCGCGACTTGCACAATTAGCTTCCGTTATCTTTCGTCCAAGCTTCTGGTCATCGAGTTGGCAGGGACACCCCCTCCCCTTCGCCCGACCCTTCCGAATCTCGCGAAAATCAATACGTTATCGGTCTCTCTTTCCTACCTACAGAAATATCTTTAATTTTAAGCTTATACTTCTCGAACAAACTTTCAATATACTGAGAATAAGGCCTTCATTGTGCAAGTCCTCTTGTTCAATTCTCTCGTAGCAAGAGAAAATCCCTTGTTGTTACAAGCTCTGTTTCAACAAAGATCCGACCAATGTTATTGTTGTTATTCTACATTCAACTAGTCGCGTATCTAACTATTTTATCACAATATTACATTTTATGCTCGAGTATACTGTTCAAGTGAATATATCCATGATTATATGTCAGTGCATTTGTAATATCATTTGTTTAAAAAGTTATATACTCACTTTCACGTTTTAATTTCTCATCAAGTATACTTTTAGCTTAATTGAATTTTTGCCATTCTTCACATTTCCAGTGCGATTAGCAGATTTGCGTTTGCATAAAATGCATATCTGAGGACTATAGATAAATCGTGTCCAAGTTAGTTATTAAAACAAAGAAAACAATATCTTTAAAACCAGTTATTTTACTCTACCGTGATGATCACAAAGAAACGATTATATGATATCGTTATTTCTAGAATGTTGTGAATTGGAAATAGAAATAGTCAGTTTATAAGAATATACTTGGCGGATTTTATTTGTATTTCAATTTGAGAAAAAAAGTAAAAAGAAAAATAAAAAATGGAAAAATAAAAAACAAGCAAAGCAAAGCAAAACAAAAAAAAATGAAAAAAATAAGAAGCCGGACGGAAAGAAGCAAGGAATTTTGTAATCGCAGTTGAGTTGAATTCTTACTTGGTATTAAATTGATGCAGTAGGAAAAAGGCGAATATTCCAACGAATGAGCAAGCAAGCAGGAGACAAAGTTAACAAAATTACATAAAAAGCGAAGGTGACCTGCGTGCCTGGTGATTCATAGGGGCTGATGCCCTCGTTGTCTGGCAGTTTGGCCGACGAAGAAGAAGTGGCAAATGGGAGGTGGGAGCGGACGTGAGCGTGCGCGCCAGAGAGAGAGAGAGAGAGAGAGAGAGAGAGAGAGTGAGAAAGGGAGGGAGCGACGAAATGACTAGTAACCGCGGAGAAAAGTCGTTCAATTCGCCTCCTCTGCTCTTCTGCGAGGAGAACGAGCCTCGGCTCTTTATTTGCGCCAAAGCTCCAAATGTCGTGGCTCAAAGCAGCAGCCCATTGTCCATCGACAGAACGATTAGTTTGATCGAAGTAAAGATCCGCGAGGAAAGGCGAACGACGATGAAGCGAGCGCGAGCTTTCTACGCAGAAATCAGAGCGAAACGGGGTCAATAGAAGTGAGCGTGCGAGGCATAATGCAGGAAAGCGACGAATAGACAGACGAAGAAGAAGAAATGGGCTCGGCTAGACGCGAAAGGTCAATGCTGATGGCGCTTGAAGACAAAGCTCCGGAGCGTAGTAGCATAGCTTTCACTGGTATTGCTATAGCGATCGGGAGACGGCGGCGACGGCAGCGGACGCGGTGGGAGGGATGCCGAGAGAGAAGAGCGTTGCATTGGAAGTGGGGTACGCTTGCGAGTCGCTTTCGGAGCCGCGCGAGTGGGAGAACGTGGGACAGGCGGCTGGCTAATAAAGCAATCTGCAAACAAAGGACATGGAGATGTCGCTGATCGAAGCTCGATTCGAAGGATGCGAAGGCAAAGCGCAAGTGGCGCGAACGGGGAATAGTAAGCTCGTCCGAAAAGCCGAAAGCTGCGAGCGCGAGTGCGCCGCGTCCAGTGCTCGCGGCCACCTACGAGACGCGCACACCGAGGCGAGAGAATCGTGGGCGCGCGCCAGACGTACGCGCGAGCGGCGCGCACCGAGGAGAGGCGAAGAGCAGCGCCGAGCGGCGCGGGGAGGAGAGGAGCGGAGAGGAGAGGAGAGCAGAGGAGAGGCGCGGAGCGGAGCGGAGAGGCGAGAAGTCGGATCGGGGCCGACGGCGGTGGCGGCGTGAGCGCAAGCTGGCGCGCGCGCGCGCGCGTAAGCGAGTCCGTGTAGGAGCAACAGTCGAACCGAGCGCCGCAAGCAAACGGCAGCAGCTCAGTTTGCATCGTGCCGTCTCCGAGAGCGCACACGCTCAGCTCCGCCTTCGGCAGCCGCACTACGCATAACCTTGTATCGCGCACCGCGAGCCAGCGAAAGCGCGGCTCCGCGATTGATCGACACTCGCTCGCCAGTGCTCCGCGCCAGTTCTCCGCTTGGTGCTCTCCCCGTGCCACGTTCGCGCGCCACTCGCCGCGGACAATTTCGCCCGCGCGACGGTGGTTGTTGTTGTTGTGTTGCCGACCAACGTGTGCACCGCTATTGGCGACATCGCTCCCTCCGTCGCCGACGCTCCCGCGCTGCCACCTTCTCTCGATTGGATGACCCGGCCGATCAGCAAACGTGGATCCTGAGATTTTGCCGGCTTCCTTCGCCTGCAGGGAACCTTATGACATTAGTAAGTCCTCGCCACGCACGTGTCTGCACATTCTGCACCATCCTGCACCACCTGCCTCGAGCTCTCGCCTTTCGCGCGCGCACGTGCTTGCGCCAGCACTTGTCCCAACTGCGATTGTCTTTGGCTACGCAATCGGGCACTAAGTCGTCGGCTGTCAATTGGCTCGACCGATTGCGCTCTGTCAAACGAGCTGGGTTTGGCGCCACTGGTCGCGCGCGCGCGCGCGCGAGCCACTCAGTTTTCCAGTTTTCAGCCTCCAGACGCTGTCTGGCTGACGCAACGAGCATGTTCTGCTTCGGGCAGCCTCGATTTCCCACATCTATATATTTATCGTGCCGCCCTCCAAACAGTAAAGTGCAGCCTCTGAAGCGCAATTGCATTTGCGTATGCAACATCGGGGCACTTGGTTCCAATGGGCCATTTGGTCGTGTATACTCGAGTCTGCGAACGATCACGATTATTTCCTTTGTAAGACGATCCACGCAACTATGTGATTGCAGATATTTTTTCCCGCTGTTGCGATTAGCACGTGGCTGTTGTCGTTGCTGCTACTGTTGCGATCGACCGAAGATCCTTGAAATGAAACGGGACTATGCCGCTACTCCCCCTCTCCTCCCCGCCATCGACCCTTCACTCCGGTCTTTCTTTAACCCTCCTTTCTTTCCTCTCGGTGCAGTTCTCTCTCTCTCTCTCTCTCTCTCTCTCCCGGTCGCTGTATCCCTCTCTTTCTCTCCATTGGTGACCGATTTTACGCCATCCGTACGTGCGCAAGTGAGAAAAGTGGGCCATGGCCTAATTTGCGGTAACATGCCGACACACGCGCTGGCGCACGTGTATATAGGTGTACGCGGATTAGGGGCAAGGGGAGGGGGCATTAGTCGAAGATCTACCAGGTGTCAAGGACATTGAACAGGTATAGCTGTTTGCCGTTCGGTCTCGGGTAATGTTACGGGGCATCGTTAGATTTACCGTTGGTTCTCTCTTGTCGCCAAGAATAACCCAAACGGATTCGACACGCGAGCAGCGAGCTCGAGGCTGAAGCGAGTTGTTGCTCCGCCATGAGTCGACGGCGCGGAGATGTCAATGGCGTGTGCCTAGTGCAGGCAGAGCAGGATAGATAGAACGCCACTAGGCCGCGTGCCTGAGATTACGTCAGTCGGGCGGGTGGGGGGGGGGGGGGGGGGTGCGGCAACTGGCGTTGCGCAGCACCTATACGCGGGTATAGTCATTGGCACTCGAGAGCAGCAGAAAAGAGTTACGCGATCAATAGCGTTTGCCGGTCGCACGTGAAAAGAAGGAAAAAACGGCTAACCGCGCGTCCACGTGAACCACCGCGCGGTTAGCGCGAACTGCTGCAGACCAATGCATACCGGTTCACGTGCAGGCCGCGACGGTTCTGCAATGGCTTGTGCTTCGGCGCTCCGACGAGGTCACGCGCCATGTAAGCGTCGGCCGCGAAATTGCTCGCGTAACTCGGCCATTGCCGCCACACGCTGCAAGCAGCAAGCGCAACACGCTCCGCGGCGGGGAAGGCGGTCGGCGGGGGGCGAGGCGCGCGCGCGCGGAGTAGGAGAAGGCCTACCTTTCCACCTATTTGCCTACTTGACTGCCACGAGTCTTACAGTCTATGTCCCGTTCTTGCGCGCGTGTAACACTTTTCGATTGACCGACTCTTTTCCCGCAATGCTATCGGGCCTGGCTTGTTTGTCGCCGAGCGTTCGCGCGAACCCCACGACGAGTCGATGACGCGGCCGCCGCGGCGCGCTTTTTCTCTTTAATTGCCGAGTTGACGCAATCTTACGTAACCTTACGAAAAGTCGGACGCCTCGCAAGGCGGCTAGATATATCGCGGCCGATAACCGTTATTTCGCTTCGAAGTCGTACAACTATTCGGTCGGCGTGCGCTTGCCTCGGCGGCCCGCTCCTCCGGCCGCTGTGCCGCGAGCGCGCGAGGCTGGCTGCGGATGCTCGCTCGAAGGAGGCCACGCCGAGGCACGCGCGCGTGCAATCGCGAGCCACGGCAGCACCTGTCCCGAGCATCGGCGCTTCCGTCGAGTCGCTCGGCGCATCGGCGCATCGGCGCTCGGCCTCGTCCGTCCGAAGGGCCGCGCGACGAGCTGCCCGCCAGCTGACGTTTCGCAAGCGCTCGCCGCTGAGACGAATCACGGCGGCGGCCGCGCGCGCACCTGAACCGCGCTATCGGTCGTCCCGTGCACGTGCCTAGCCTCGGCTCGCGCTATCTGCCGGGCGCATCGCGCTGCCGAATCGGGGTTCCCCGAGGCGCTCCTCGGCGGAGGCCCGGCAGAGCGGCGGCTCGCGCGCTTCGGCCACGTGCTGCCGCTAACGACATTGCGCAACCGGCGCTCGAGCGAGCGGCGTCGCGGCGCGGCCAGCGACGGCAGCGGCACGTGTGCCTCGCTGCGCGTCCACCTCCTGCCGCCGGCGGAGCGGCCTCTCGAGGCGCTCTCCTCTTCGGCGGCGCTCGCACGTGGCCCCTCGCGCGAGCTCCCGGCCGCTCGCTCTTGGCTGTTGCGTCGGCTTCGCGCGCATGCAAGTGCAGCGCTCGCGCGCGCTCGTGTCACGCGGCCGCTCGGCACGCGCGCCCCTCCTCGTGCCGCGACTCGCCAGCCGACCGTGATGCATGCCTTTGTGTTGCTGCCTCCGCGCGTCAGCTTGCGCCTTCGTCGCGGGCACATGCGTCATCCTCAAGGCGCCCGCGTCCGCCTCCCCGGCCCCGCTCCGCTCCGACGCGTCGCTGCTGCACTACGTGTCGGAAAAAACATGCGACTGCTGCACCGTGCCAGCCAGCGCGTACACGTGACGGCTTTATCGCGCACTAGTGCCGAGCCACTCTTTCCTCTCCAAAACTCAAACTCGACTCCACTGGCGCTCTCCCACCTTGCATCCGTAGCTCCCCCCGCCTCTCTCGCTCTCTCTACGTGTGGGTGCGTGCATACGGTAGGCAGAGAGTGTCAACAATCATACGGATATGCAACGTTGGATAGTTGACGCATGTTTACGTCCAGACCAGCAGTATAGGATCTGCTGTCGTCGAGGTTTATTGCTAATTGAAGGTGGCACTCGAAAGACGTGTCTTGGTCTCGCGGAAGAAAAATACGGCGTCGGCCTCCATGAATATTGTAAAGTTGTCAAGAGCAGAGCACAAAGTAGCACTGTACGAGGACACTCAAGATAGACGTACATTGCCACGTCACTTACGTGTTACAAAAAGAGGTCGAACGTTCGATTTGCGGTCACGTGCAAGAAGAGTCAGTCCCTCGATGTGTAATACGTATTTAGCATGTGTGTCGAGTGAGCGAGAGAGAGAGACAGACAGACAGACGGACAGATCGACTCGCCGCGCTTTTATATCCGTGGCTCAGTGTCAAATACTGCACGTGGGCGGTGGCACATGTGTCCGGCGCAATCAGCTCACCTCGTACCTCCCGTACAGAGGCAGATACTCTGCCTCTCTCGCCGCTCCTCGTTGCTCTCGCTATCGTTGTTCATCGGCCCTTTCTCCAGCGCGGCTGCTCGCATCAAACCACGATCGATGCGCGGACTTGCTATTATTGCTGGCACTCGAGAGTCACGTGCCACACGAACCGTTTGCACTCGCGGTAGCCGAGCCACGTGTATCCTCGTGATAAACCAGTCGGTCGTCGCTGTGACCAGGCGGAACGTGGCCCGCGCACCTCGATCACTTGCGCTAGTATGCCGCTTCGCATCCGCACGCCGTCGATGTCGCTCGTGTGATCGCTAATCCTCCTTTTCTTTTGCAGATGCTTTTAGAAAGCGAATTATGGTCGCAGAGTTCATCACTCGGCAGAGTGGATCGCCCATCAACGGTGAGACCGCGTGTTTGAACACCAGCGGCACCGGGATGCAGGTCTCGCACAGCATGGCCCACGCCGGAGGCTCGCACGAGGCCCTCGCCTCACTGCCTTCTATGGCCCACGCCAGCCACCACGCGCACTCCCAGGCTCAGCAGCAGCAACAGCAGCAGCAGCAGCAGCAACAGCAGCAGCAGCAGCTCCACGCGCAGAGTCTGCAGCAGCCACCGCAGCAGATGGACTCAGGCCAGACCGCCAGTAACGAGATGTACGGGCAGGGCGGCGCCAGCAACGGGAGCAGCTGCAGCAACGGCAGCCAGAGCAGCTACGAGCTGCGCAAGGAGTTGTTCTCGCAGCGCAAGCAGCGCGAGTTCATCCCCGACAACAAGAAGGACGACAGCTACTGGGACCGGCGGCGACGCAACAACGAGGCGGCCAAGCGCTCCCGCGAGAAGCGCCGCTTCAACGACATGGTGCTCGAGCAGCGGGTCATGGAGCTCAGCAAGGAGAACCACATCCTCAAGGCCCAGCTCGACGCCATCCGCGAGAAGTACAACATCTGCGTGGAGAGCGTCATCAGCCCCGAGCACGTGCTGGCGGCGCTGCCCGCCGAGCCCGGCCTCGTCAAGCGGGCGAAGCTGCAGAGCTCGGCGGCCGCGGCCGCCGCGGCGGCGGCCCTGCTCTACGCGCGCACGCCCAGCCCCGTGCACACCTCGGTCATCCACCAGCCGGTGAGCGTGAGCGGGGCGCGCTCCGCGCGCTCGCCCGGCCAGCTGTACGCCGCCGCGGCCGCGCAGGCCGGCCCGCTGGCCGCGGCGCAGCAGCAGCAGCAGGACGCGCTGCTGCAGCCCCAGCCGCCGCTGCTGCTGCAGCCGCAGCCGCCGCCGGCGCAGCCGCAGCCGCCGGGCTACGGGGCCGCGGCCGGCGCCGAGGCCGAGGCCGGCTTCCAGTACCCGCACTTCTCGCACCCGCACCCCGCGGCCGTGCACGGCTTCGAGGGCGGCGCCGCGGCGCTCAACCTGTCGGCGCGCTCGCGCGAGCGCGCCAGCCACTCGCCCGCCTTCTCGCAGCACGAGCACGAGCTGTCCAGCTCGGCGGGCAGCGGCGACGAGGGCCACGCCGGCCACGGGCAGCGCGGCTCGCCGCTGGCCGGCTCGGCGGCGGCCGTGGCCGCGGCCGCGCTCGCGCTGCAGCTCGGCGTGCACGGGCCGGCGCCCGGCGGCGGCCCCAACAGCGGCCTGCCGCACAAGCTGCGGCACAAGTCGCGCCTCGGCGACAAGGACGCGGCCTCGGCGCTGCTCGCGCTGCAGGGCATCAAGCAGGAGCCCGGTGCCTCGGCGCGCGCCTCCCCGCCCTGGGACAACGAGGGCTCGAGCGACGAGCGCGACTCGGGCATCTCGCTGGGCGCCGAGTGGCCGCCCGGCGGGCCCAGCCCGGCCGCCCAGCCGGCGCAGCTGCTGGCGCACCCGCCGCAGCTGCAGCACCACCAGCACGCCGCGCTGCCGCTGCCCGAGAGCGAGCGCGAGGTCAAGTCGCGGCTGGACCGGCTGGCCTCCGAGGTTGCCTCGCTGCAGTCGATCCTCAGGCTCAGCAAGGTGGGCGTGGGCGTGGCCGTCGGGGTCGGCGAGGCCCTCGTCGCCGCGGCGCCCTCGCACGTCTAGTTCGGCGCGCCTCGCTCGGCCCGAGGGCCGTGCCGCTCTGCTCGCGCGGTGCTCGCGAGCTCAACTACTGTGATACGGTTTATAGCGCCTCGCTTGGACCCCGAACTTTTCTACGTTTTCTGTGTACGTATGCTTTCTCTACACGCCTACGCAACGAGACGGCTCTCGCCCTCGACTTCTTCATCTACTCGGCATCGTCTACATTATTCCGTTATATTCGATATACTTCCGTTATTATTCTACTGTTATGATTATTACGCTGTCGTCATTGTCACCGTTGATACTGTCAGATTAGGTCGTCATTATTACTATGATTACCATCGTCGTCGTCATCGTTATCATCATCAAAATCATCATTATTATTATTACTATTGTTATTATTATTATTATTATTATTATTATTATTATTATTATTATTATTATTATTACTATATTACGATCATTATTATATACTTATTGTTATTAATATATTATGATTATACATACACATGTACACCGTCCTATGCAATCAGATAGTACTAGTCTCCTGTGTAGCAGCTACTTAAAACGGCTTCTTTATCATATACCTTGTGATATTGGTTTGACGCACAACTGTCTCTATCTATCTATCCACCATCATACAACATTTGAGAATAATTCGCAATACGGATCAAAAATCAATTTTATTTTAGTAATAATCAATTCATACATGTCAATCGACTTCTCTGTGTCCACCATCTCACAACGTACTATTTACTTTTTTTCCTCATTTTCCTTGCATATAAACTTTACACGTAGAAACCACACGAATAATTTAGCTTTATGTTTATTACCACGATGCACGCAACGAAACAATTGGATATTCTACGTAAATTATTATTAATGTTATAAACCTTTCTAGAAACCACGTACTTGGATAAGTAACTTACCTTTAAATAATTTTTGAGTATTACGCAGAATTGTATTGGTGTCTTATTTATATATTGAACGATTTTTGTGTTGATATGCGACTTTCCTGCCTATAACTTTCATTTTCTTGAATCTTTTGTAACAACTGTTTATAATACAAATCCAGAGTGCCTGTAATATTTGCATGTCAGGATTTATTTATATATGTTATAAGACTTTGGTCAATTTGCGTATTAAATTGCACTGTTATGTAACATGTACAGGTGTGTGTAAATGACTTGAACAGCCAAGTATGAAGGTTTACATTGCGTCGAAAGCAACGGGGAAATTAATTTTTTAAGGCAATGGTTGAATGTCTCTTTATGAGTTTACTATCGATAAATAGTGTACGTAATAAGTCTAATGAAAAAATAATTGTAAGAGCAATAGTTTGGTAAGATGTAATATTGATTATTTAATTGAATGCGAGCACTGATGACGCTTTCAAGAAAGGCGGGACGCATGAAATTTCGAAATGGTCAGAGTTGACAAATGAGAAATAATAAATTTCAATTCAATTTCTGCAATGAAAGATGCAAGTTTCAATTAGTATTGTAAATATCTAAGTATCTAATTATAGGTTTATACATATGTCTGTGTGTGCGTGTACGTGTGTGTCTGCGTATGTGTGTGTGTGTGTGGGCGCGCGCGTGCGTGCGTGTATATGTTACTGCACTTATGTGATATGGATAGCAAATGAAGATTTAATGCTTCAATGTAAGATTGTAATCACAATTACGAGCGAAAAGAAAACAGTTTCATAAAATTTATGTACTATTTATTATGTAGGATTGTATAAGCTTCAAGGTTGTACAGAGCGTATATTATGTTGAGAGCGAAAAATGACCGAAATACATTTTTATTTATTTTTTACGTTATTAATGAGTTGTTAAAAGCAAATGCCTCGTCTACACATAGACTTTGAGATAGTCTAGCTTTAGCTTTCATCAACGTCAAATAACTTTTTTCCTATTATTATTATTATTATTATTAATCGAAAACAAATTGTTGGTTATATACAATTTTACACATTCATTTCAATTATGTTTTGTTTACGTTGCTCAATGAAATATATGTCTGACAGGCAGGCCGATACTATTTCAAAGTCTATGTGTAGGCAAGACAATATATGTATGCAATGGTCTTATCAGAAATTGGCTTAGCAAATATGAACTTTTTATCAAATTATGGTTGGAATAGTGTACATTGGAAAACATTTTTTTAATTCATCGAATGGAAATTGTCACTTAGATGGAGCCTAATATAAGACTGTTTATCATTATTACCATTGTCATTTTTAATTTACGTTATTCATGGAAGGAATTTGAAAATCTATTTCTTCTTTTATTTTTATATTATTTCCCGCTTATGAATGGTGTACATACGTAAAGTTGAAGAGCTAACATTAGTTGGTGTATGCGTTTTGTAAAATGGTCAAAATTTATGTCAAATTAATAATTAAACGAAATGGTATTAAAAAGTTTCATGTCACTGATATACAGTTCTTCAGAATACTGTATCTACGTTGACAAAGAATTTAGAAACATAGTCGGATAAGTTTGATACTTACATAAGAAACGACCTTATTTATAAATAATGTATTTGATTATTTATAAGAGTCAATTCGGCTGGAATAAATGTGACCAGCAATAATATTTGAGCGTTATTTCATTGTCGATGCCCTATATCATGGATGATCGCATTAAGCGGAAGAATAAGTAATACCTCTTCAGAATAATATTCACGAGTGCCCATGAATGCGGCAATTTTTATGGATAATTGATGCTTCGGTTACTCGAAATGGACGATTAATTGAACGAGCCAAAATTAACTTAAATTTTTAAATTATATTTGAAAAAAGCAAGTACCAAAACATAAGAATTTGCTGTAGCAACTCATAAGATTTTAATCAATATGAAATTTAAAGAATTGTCCCTCTAAGGTCAAATTTTAGAAGATAATAACAGAGTTGTCGACTGCAAAGTGGTCTTCCTTGCCGCCTCTTGATCATCTGTGAAATAGATATGAATGCTGCAATAGCAACGAGCGGTATATGCTATCGAAGATGGTAAAACAGTTTTGCTGAGAATCTCATTCAATCGTCCAATTTCTTTTATAGAGCACGATTTCAACAATCTACAAAATGTATTATTTTCTTCGTATTGACAGTTTGAATAAATTGAATATTCTTCAATGTAATCATTCGAATGACTTGCTCATTACATTTAAAATTCAATGTTTCGGTAATAATGCTCTCTTGCCAACGTTGAAATAACACTCAGACACTTGGAGATCAAACAAATGTACGAGGATTAGTAAAATAAATGAAGTTATTGTGGGAAAATAAAAAGTGGTGACTACATTATCATTCCCGACGATTCAAATGGTACGTATTTATGCTTATACGATAATGTACTGAAATACAGTATGCGGGCTATCACGTCTTCTCGTGTAATATCATTCGTTGAATGCAAAGGAACAATTGAATTTTTGTAGCACAATACGAACTTAGGCTCTCCCTTGAGCCTTGTTATTTCGAAGGCGTTTTGTTTGCAAATCTACTAGCTGTATGAAAAAAGTAACAGTGTGGAAAATGGAACACACGTTTAGCCTGATTGATGATTGTGAATAACGCTTGAAACATTGCGATATAGGTAAATGCGTAGCATTATTAAATAGGAAAATGGTGGTGGTGAAAAAGGCTAAATGAGCAGAGTTAGGTTAGCAGAGCTTGAACAGTGAGACGAACGAAAATGTAATTGAGCCAAGAATCCGGTCAAAAGAAACGTAAGAAACGTTGAAGTTATACAGTTGTCCTTTTGTCGCTGGTTTGTCAGTTTAATATAGTAGATGCAGTGACTCGGCACACGTTTGAATTCTCAAGACGGCTTGGAATCCGATCGGAGAAATACTTAGGTGGCGTCAGCCCCATGCCCTTTCATTGTTTTTCTCCGTGTGGCCGCCTCCGAACTTTAAAAACGTCATCTCCTCACGACAATTCCAACGACATTGGCTTGCCGAAAGAATTTAAATTAGCGACCATGGCATATCGAACTCTCAAAGCTTAAAATTAATTGATTTATGAATGACGATCGTCTATGCCGCGGAATTTGGGCTGCGTTCAGTGAGCCCCATCTGTGAGAGAGTGAGTCTCTGGCGTAAAGAATAAGACAAGAAAGAGAATGAATATAAAAAGAGAGAGAGAGAGAGTCTGCGAAGGAGGGGGAAAACTGTAAGAGCGTCTCGCGGTTCGAGTGTTATATATCTGCTTACATTCAGCAGCGCTTTTGCATAGACGGAGATGCGTTTGGTTCTGCGAACGAATGTTGAGGAATCCAGCGAGATATTCTTATCATATTGATTGTAGCTACGCGCTTATACAGCGAGTAGGTTTTCGGAAAAGAACAGCAACACCTGTAGAGGCAGCGAATCTCCTCGTTGATCATCCTTAATAACCTTTGTCTACCCAGCCAGTTTCTTCTTCGATATTACAGGCATTTTACTTTTTACCAGATGACATTTAATGCTCCACGCTGCGCACTGCATTCCCAAGCAGCTCAGCGTCTTCATTCGACAAGCGTGTTAATTGCCGCTTGTTTTTTCGACCAGTTGTTTATCGTCGTCCTTAAATACGAGACTCTCCCGACGAATCTAAGACTCGTTATGGAGCAAGAAGAAAATATTACAACGTCGATTGGACGTACGTGCGCAGGAATAATTTATACGTATCGCGTGCAAACCAACGACGCTAATCGTCGGTCATAAGGACAGAGCCGTGCAATAGGTGTCGCGATACTCAATTAATTTCTCTCCATGTCTCAATCTCGGAGATGTGTGCGACAAGAAGCGCAGCGATCGTAACAGCTTGCGTTAGCCGGTACTTGGAAAGTCGGGAGGAGAAAGATGCGTTGCGCGCAGCAGATCGGTAGATCAGCGACTAGTCTTACATGCGTGCGCGCGTTTGTAGCTGCAGAGTGAGCGTTCGTACGGGACCATCGATACTAGCAGGCTAACATCGATCAAAGAGCTCGCGACATTTGGAAAACCATTTGTCAATCGTGGCGGCGGTACGGAGGGAGAGTTAATGGAATCGGCCTATGAGAAGTCTTGGAGTTCGATTGGTAATCAGCGGGTTGCGCGGATAGAATCGGCGGCGCAGCACGAGGGAGAGAACGAGAGAGAGAGCAAGCGAGAGCGAGAGAGAGAGAGAGAGAGAGAGAGAGAGAGAGAGAGCGCACAAAAGTAAATGGGAATGCAAATGGGCTGAGATCATCTGCTGCTCGAAAAAGTTGAGTCTCCCCATGGCACGTCGGTTTACGCTCGCATTTTTCTCAGCTTGCTTCATATTTGCATACGGATAATATGCGCTCGCGCTGGGTTCAATGCACAAAGGAACTAAAAAAGCGGCTATGAATCTCTGGACCCCTGATGAAAATCAGCATTTTCAGGGACTAGCCGAAATTCTAATATGCGAGGATAGCATGCCGTCCTATAATGCCGGAGGATTTCAAGTTTTTCGCTGTGTGACAGACTCGCGGGCCCGATTCGCTCTGGAAGGGTGAAATACGAGGAAAGGGATTTAACGAGCAACAGACACGCGCCCGCCTGCCTGCCTGCCTGCCTGCCTGCCTGCCGGTCTGCCGGTCTGCCGACTTGCCTGCTTGCCTACTCGCAGCTACACCGCAGAGAATCACTGAAAATGATAAGCAGTTTGAACAGACTCTGGGGATCCTCTGATTTGAATAAGGACAGGAACTTTGTGGCATATGCTTCCAATTTTTTCTTCCTCTTTTTTTTAGGGCTTTACCCTCAACTCTATGACAATCGTTTTACGTTAACGGGTTATACCTGCGCTCGACTCCTGGGAAAACAAGCCGATCGGTTTTTTTTTCCTTCAAGAGCCACACCGTTTCCGCCCCTCGCCCCTATTTTTTACTCTCGCGTTCGCTCTTCCTATTTGGTCACCCTTTCCTCGATCCCATCAATTTCGCTCTCTTAATAAATAATTAGAAATTCAACCGTTCGAAAGATCATCCGAAAATCGATCTACTGTTATCCCACGGATTTCCGGAAACTCGGGCGTCCAGTCGAGTCCGCCTCAGCTGTTAACAACGCTATTACTGGCTGGCTCTAGCTCAAACGAGCACAGCCCCAATAGAACTCGTTTGTGGCGCGACGACTATCAGAGTGGAATGGTGATAGCTGGAGATGCTGGTGGCCGATTGTGAATTTGATCCGTAGGAAAGAGAGTAAATGAGAGAGAGAGAGAATGGCCGAAGCCGTAGGATGGGATTGAAAAGTATCTGAAATGAAAAATCTTTAGAGAAAACACAGCTGTGCGCGCGCGTTGCGGAGGTGCTTTAAAACGAAAATGAGGCCAGGTAAGATTTTACAATTTTACGGAGGGGAGAGCAGCGTCGCAAGCTACGGTTCGAATGCATTATGGAAGTGCAAAGAAAGGAAGGGAAGGGAAGGGAAGGGCAGGGAAGGGAAGAGAAGGGAAGCCCGCGGCGAGGGCGAGGGGAGCGGAGCAAAGGGAAGGAAAGAGAAGGGGGTTAAGCGTAAAAAAGCGTAAAGCGTGCGTGCTCGCTCGGATCCCCATAGAAATTTCCAAAGAATTACGTGACCCTCGGGCGGCGCGATCCGTTGTCATCTCTCGCGCAATTGCATGAAATGCCTTCTCGCTAGACTCGAGACCGAGGAAAGCAAGCAAACGAAGAAAATAGACAGCGCGGCGCAAGGGGTTAGCTCGAGGCTACCTGTACCCCCTGTGACTGAGTTGTGTTTTCACTTCTCCAGTTACTAAAGACTCCCGGAAATCCAAAAATTGACGAAGGGTGGTACGCAACTCTCTCCCTTTGCTCGGCAATGCAGCAGTTGACACTTGACCGTCATATCCCTTCTGTTTATTGCGCGCCGTAGGGTCCTTAACCCTTTTTTTTCTTTTTCATCGCATTTCTTCTCAGTCCTGTAGCACAGCCTACGTGACAGCTGCATACGGCGCCTACTCCGACTCGCTCCTCGTTACCTCGTTCTTATTTTACGGCTCGCACATGCGCCATTGCCGAATGCGCGCGCGCGCGCTTTCTCTCTCCGGCTCTTTCTAGCTGCCACCTACTCGCTCGCCGATCTCGCTATCGGCACTGGCGTTGCTGATCCAGCGCCGCTCTCCCAGCAGAGCGGCCTTTGAGAGCTGCCGGCTGTAGGCGGGTGCAACGAACTCTCGGCGAGAAACACATCCGAAAATCGAAGCGAACGGAGCCAAGAGGATGATTCGTTTCCGACTACCAGTCCTATATGTGGGCGTGGGAATAACGGGCCATGTGACGCTATTAATTACCGTACTCTTGAATCCCTCCTATCTCTTCGCGCAGCATCCAGACGCCTTCGAAAATGTACGCGCACTTACCTTCTTACAAGTTATATTTAGCTCTTTCTCATTGGAGATTCGAGGATGAAAGAAATTCTTCTGTACATCACGAAGATCTTGGGAACTGGATGAGAAGCACGTTTGTGTCTGTCAGACCGGGCGACTAAGGCTGCCTACATCCAAGCGATAAAGAGTTAAAGGCCCTCAAAATTGTACGAATGATCTTTGTAAGCGGCTCTGTTTGCTGCTTTGTTCGCTCGCGCTCAATGGAATCAAGCCGAGGTACGCAAATGAACGAGCCAATGCCGTCCCGGTGCTGGCTGCTAATACTTCATCGATGCGCGCGCACGCATGCCTATCCGATGACATTAGTATCGTGCTGCATCGCTGGATTAGCCTGCGTTTCAGAGACGCTGCTCAACGTCAATGCCAATAATCTTCCTCGGATATAATAACTTCGAAAGGCATCTTTGGCCATACTCGTACGCGCTTTCGGTCTCCTGTCATTTTTATTGCTTCGTAGCCGTATACCGAGCACATTTCGCGCGCCATCCGTCAAATCATGCCAAACTCCTTTCTTCAACGTTGCTTATTTCGGTTGATTCTATGTCCTTCTCCTCTCAACTTTCGTTATTTCACTTTGTACAGTCGGCAATCGTACGATATTCCGTATTTTAAACGTAGTCAGGGAACGATACCAGCGAGCTTTCAAAATATGCTATTTTATCTCGCAAAATTATTTCCTGCTTTTTATAAAAGATTAGTCGACACTTTTCCAAGTTCAAGCCAGCCTTAGCTTTCTACCTTTTTTTCATCGTTTCGACAGACAAAAGTTTTTTTAACGGGTTTCCTCA